TCTTTCCCTTACGATCCTTCTCTTTGCTTCTCCGAGTCCCCGCACTCGGTCGCACGCGGAATATGCGCGGTTAGACACGCGCGCACCAGCCACCCTTTCGCCCTTCCACCCTTCCAGGCCCGGCCGAGGGGCTCGAATCGGCAAGGAGAGGGTGCGTTCGTGTCGTTGGTGGGGCTCGAAAGCTGGAGGAGAAGCTCCCTCGGGTGGGGGAGGGACAGGGTGCGGAGGCGCCGTCGCCAGCGAGCGACGCAGTGTCGTCGGGACGCTCGACCGAGCGATACCGCCTTCGCAAGAGTCGGATCAACGCCGCTACTAGCGGCATAACGACACCGCACGACGCACACACCACCGTCGTTGTCGTCATTGTCGTCGTTGTCAGCCTCGTCATTGTCATCGTCACCGTCACCGTCACCGTCACCGTCATCATTGTCGTCGTTGCCGTTGCCGCCACCGCCGCCACCCTCTCTCGGTCCCGATCGACCTCGTCGGTCATGTACCGCTCTTACCGCGAGAACCTCGCGCATTCGCTGACAGCCGAGAGGACGCGCGTTGCATCGCGAACACCGCGCCAATTTCCGCACGAAAGCCCTCTTCTCGTCGATCGAATCGTGGCCTTAGGTGGACCATGTCTGAAGAAACTCTCTGCCGGCCGGAAGGACTTGGACGACGCTTACCCACCGCTTGCCGGGGATATTGTCTTGTCACAGCAGTACACCTTTAAAGAGTTACTGGTGTGATGGGACATTGTCCTCGTCTCGTGGCCTTCGTCGAACGCACTTCGATTCGTTCCGGTGTGATTCTCGTCGGATCCAGAAACGAGAGGGGGTGGGGTGGGTGGGGGGGAAGAGAGAAGAATGGAAAAAGGGAAAAAGTAAAGGAGGAAAAGTGGAAGAAACGTCGAGCAAAAGTGTTGGCGCACTCGTGTTCCGTGACACACACGCGCACACGCGCGCGCGCGCGCGCGTACCGACAAGACCGGAGAGAGAAGCCGAAGAGACACGATAGAGTTCAAGGGGATGACACGGGGATGGATATTTATAGGTATCGAAGAAGAACGTGAAAGAACGCGAGGAAGAAGAGGAAACTCGAGAAAATTTCACGGACTAACCTCGAGAGCACACGGTCGGGAGGAATCGAAACTTCGGTTTTTTCCGTGAAAATTCTACTTTTTCGTCTCGAACACGATGCTGAAAAACCGAATTTCACTTTCGCGAGAGATTCGAGCGATCCGTATACCTCGAAAGATGCTTCGTAAAACGCGAGGACTCTGTCAAGGTGTCTCTTAATTCTCGCCAACGTGGATACCACGGCGTTTCCGGTCGATAAGGCAGCTTCCGGAAGGTGCGGCTATCCGCTACGATGGTTGATCGAACGACTTTCTTCTCGGCTCGCGGAAAAGAAGAAGAGAGAAGGAAC